ACTGAGCTGCCACACTTTTTAATTTAACCGTTCAATGTGATCCTCAAATTTACATGCATCCGGTCTGAACTTCCAGTTCATGGAGCCTATTTATCCCCCTACATTGTTGGGAGTTTCCAGCATGACCAACAATCCATCAGCATAACCCAGAGCAAGGACTTCCCACACCTGGTCTGTGAAACTGGGACTGCTCCCCTGGCATTTACCTTCTCCTGGATGTTGGCCCCCAGTCGCCTCAGGGTCTCCTGGAAGTTTTTGTTGCGGGGTTCGATGGTGGCACATTTCTGAGCATCTTTGAATGCTTGGTCCAATTTCCCCAATTTTTCCAGAGCTTGGCTGCGCCGGTACAAGGCTTTGATATCCGAAGCATTGATGTCAATAGCTGGGAAAGCAATCCAAAACACATCAGTTTGCTTCTTGCAAATCCTCTGTGTAAACTGTGGTTTGCTTCACAGTGACTACAGCTCCCTGAGACATAGTTGTTAACATTGTGAGTGAACTGGTACCTGATCAGCATCGATTGCACCAATGCACCAAATTGGTGCATCTTCTTTTGTAGCTTCTCCATTAATTCCCTCGTGGCCTCAGCACTTGGGTGTTAGTGCGTGTCAAGGAATAAGACCCACAGTGCCCCAAAAGCAGATGTGAGAGCAGGCTGGAGCAAGCACACCCAGCAATGCAGCTCTCCTGTCTCAAAACAGCCCCCTCCTTACCTCGAGACGCATCCGAGGCTGCCTTGGCGTATTCCTCCTGTTAAACCAGAAGGGAGCGATTCGTTAGCAGTGGAATAGCAGGGCACATCCCCATTGCTGCTGACCTCTCTGCTCCCACTTACTAACAGGACACCCCAGTGAAACCAACAGCAGCTTACAGGAGGAAAGATGGGGGTTTGGGTACCGTTTAATCACTGGCAGGGGAGAGGGGAAAAGGCCTTCGATGCAGGGAGACAACATAGGCTGATGATGATGCAGTGACGGACCACGGGCAGGGGGGATGCTCACAACAGCCTACCTGTATTTTGTTCTGGGCGTGTGTCACTTCTGGATCAGTGAAAATTCAGGAACATGCAAGCTATCTGCTAAAATCCCACAGCAGGTCATTACAAGCTGACGGCAGGGAGCTGAGACAATTTTGGTACAGACACCAATAACTTTTTGTTTTGCTCAATACCTGCATCTACTTCTCTTGCGCTGTGACAGCCAGCAGGAGCGATGCCTCTGCACCCCAACCCGGGGCTTACAGAGCTCTCCTGTAAGTGTGGAGCAGGCTGGCTGCCAAAAGCTTTTGCTTCAAAGCGATTAAGTGTGGGACCATCTCTGAGCCAAACCGGCATGCTCAGCCCCATTAGGACTGAAGCAGGGAGGCAGCTCTACAGCTCCAGGACAATCCCAGAACAAATAATTTCAGACCAGTTTGCAAGCACCCTATTCAATATATGGACAAACCACACAGTCCACAGCTGGTGAGCACCCTTGCCTGCCTCCTTGCCCTTCTCCCGTCAAACACCGCCCAGGCAAGCCGGGAGCTTTTCTCACCTTTTTGAGGAAACACGCTGCCCTGTTCCTGTACAGCACAGCCTGCAGCGCCTTGTCCTTGTTGAGCTTTATGGCTTGAGTGTAGCTTTGCACAGCTTTCTCATAGTCGCTGGCCTGAAAATATTTATTGCCCTCCTCTTTCAGCTGGATGGGATCTTCCATCTGGAGAGCTTTAAGGAAAAACATCAATTTGTGTCCCATTTTCAGCTGCCTGTGTCACCGGGTTCGCCTGCCTACTCCACCAAGCTGAGCTTCACCACGAGACCAACAGATAATTAACACACACGTTAATAAAAGCAGCTTACCAGGCTGAAGAGTTTGGAAAACGAAGACCTAAATTCCTCCTCAAGGCTGTGGCTTCTCAGCAGCTTCTCCCAAGGGTGTAGATCCTTCAGAGGCAATTAATAAAAGAAAGAAAACCAACCAAGAAAGAAAGACTTAAAGAAGCTCGCCAGCACCATGCAGGGTCTGCCGTGGCTCAGGAAGGAGCTCGCCTCCCGCTCCAAGTTTGGGCAGGACCCAGCAGCTCCTGCTGCCTGTCAGCGTCACCTGCCACCACGGCCTGGCCCCCTCCCTGCTATATACAGGAATGGGGGGGTTCATGCCGAAAAAGCCCACGGCTGGGATGGGTGACCCCCGTCGCAGTGCTCAGACCCTTTTCCCTTTCTATTTAGGGAAGCATGAGACAGCTGGGCCTCGGGGACAAGCGGCCCCACGCCAGCAGCTGCAGCAGTGCCCAGCACCTTCCAGAACGCCCTGGGACGGAAAACTGACTCGCACCCAGCGCCGCCTCTTCCCCACAGGGCTTTGGGAGCCCACCCTGCTGGAAAGCCCACCCATGTCCAGCACTGCTACCTCCCCTCATTTGGCAGCCCACCAGCACACACGAACACAGATATCTGTACTGGCCCACTGCTGTGATGAGAGTGTCAGGCCTCAATTTGAGTGACACCAATAGACAGAGCGGTGCCAAGCTCAAATAGAGCTGAGCCTTTCAAATCCCTCTGTTTCCCAGGGGTCACAGTCAATCAGGAATTCTGCTTCACAACTTATCTCTCCCCAAAATGCAGGCCTTGCCTTCCCGAATGCACCTACAGACATCCTAGCTATAAAGCAAATGGGGGAACTGGCGTAGGGATGGGGAAACGACCGGGCTGACCAGGATGCGCTCAGTCGCTCCCATCAGGCTCACGCTGCAGAGCTGAGCTATAGCAGACAACGCACTTCCACGCTGAGACACTGCCAAGGAAAATAAAGAAACAGTTTTCTTTAATACCAGTGATCTGTGTTGTCGCTTGTGGATCTTATGCAGCAAGAATTGGCCCAAGGCTGCCCCGTTCAGGTCTCCTATTTTATTCGCCCTGCACCAACAGCACCATTCAGTCACTGGTATCCAGGCAGGAGGTGATTGCAAAGCAATTTGGGGGTCCCTGTGCAGCACATCACCTGTGCAGCGGTTGCAGGCAGCTCCATCAAGGGCAGCTCAAACACCTTCACCTGCTTGGGGGTAGGTCCAAGGCACAAGGACCGTGTCCATGGAGGGTGTAAAAGGCCTTCTCTGCCTTGGATAGACTCAGTACAGCAGCTGAAAAGGACTCACATGGACTAACACACCAGAAACCCCTTCCCACATTGCTTTGGGTAGGGGGTGGTCAGCTTGCTTCATTTCAGTGCTCATAGTCCAGTGTACATAGCCCAGCCTTCCTCAAGTTATCCAGAATAAAGGCTTCGTTTTCCCAAGTGGCAGCACTGCAGGTACCTCAAGTAAACTAAGTTACAAAATAAAATTGTGTTTGATGCTGCTGATGTTCCAGGCAGAGCCAAGAGCAGCCTGAGCTCCCCTTGCTCTGTATTTTTGGGACAGGCAACTACACTGCTCTGGCAGGGAGGAATAGCAGCCTCCCCGGTGGGGGGCAGCCCCAGCCCTCACCCCCTGCCCCCCCAGCTGGAGCAGATGTGCTGATGCCTCGGTGTGAGCCACAGCAGTGGGTGCAGGGGACCCTCTACAGGCCTCAGCTGGGAAAGCAAAAAAAAAAAGTTTTCCTGGGGAAATTCAAGTCCCAGGCTGCCCCTACAGCAAGCCCCGTTCAGGGACAGAGCTTTCCCCACCTGCAGAGCAGCAAAGACCCCCCCCCATGCACCTTCATCTTCCACCCTGCAACCCAAACTGCGAGCATCGGCTGATGAATCCAGCCAAACCCAAGTCCTGGGATCCCACCTTACCTCATGGCTCCAAGCCACCATCTAACCCAGGCCCTTGCAGAGAGGTGGCAAGGTCCATGGTGAAATTACCCTCCAGAAAATCCCAGGATGAGCTCCAGCATCTCTAGAGCAGCAGCAGGGCTGCAGCTGTAGCTGCAATGGGCACCCAGGGCTTGGACTTTTCTCCAACACAGCATTAGAGACCTTCTCCCTGGGGTAAAGCTGCATGCAACCCCTTTTAGAGCTACCCCCAAGCCCCTAACACAAGTTTAGGGCAGCCAAAGTGCATGCATAGAGCTCAGGTTCACCTCTGAAATAACTTCAGAAATTATAACTGAAAAGTTTTTTCTTATTCCCATCAGCTGCTCTCCCAGCAAGTGCTCAGACCCCACGGGTCTGCCCAGCCACACCAGCAGCAGAGAGCCCAGCTCTGAACGCCAGCGATGCTTTTAAAAGTGAAACGAGCCCTACACAGAAACACAGAGAACTCTCTCCGGAAAGACTGGAGCAGCCTCACCTCTCCCTCCTACTTCTTCAGTCTACCTCAATTTTTAAACTAGCTTATTCAATTCGCCCCAGCCTCCCCCAGCAGCAGCACCCACCCCCAAAAAAACCAGCCAGCCCAGGCTCTGGTTCTGTTATTTATAGAGGCCGGGGTGGTGGCATTGCTGGTGGCTGTGCTGGGGTCATTTAAAGGCAACTGGTGGCTGGGGGAGTTGCTCCAGATAAGGGGGGTAAAAAAAAAACCACAAAACCACCACCACCACCACATATATATATATGTATATATATATCCCATTCCTGTTTCCTTTGCTCCAGCTTTGCGGCAGCTCCCAAGCAGGCTCTGGCCCTCCCCCGGTGTCCCTGCTGGTATCGGGCTCTGCTGGGAGCTGACGCCCCCGTTTGTCTGCGGGTGCTTCCAGGGGCACCCTTGGGTGCCAGCAGCCGGAGAGGTTTTTTCCTTGCTGGGGCCAGGGAGGCGGGGAGAGGCGCCGGGGTCTGGGCAAGGCAGGGGCTGGCAGCGCTTCCCACCGGGCAGGACTGGGACACCAGTTTGCTCGCAGCGTCTTTACTGGGCCCGGTGAAGGATGCGGGAGGGAAACCCCTGCGCAGCCCCCGGCTGGGGGTGGCCCGAGGGGCTGGCGGTGGTCCCAGGGGGTGGGATGCGGGGCTGCCAGCCACTAGAGGGGGGTGCAAATGTGAGCCCTGCCCGGCTCTTCCGCTGCCGGCAGGAAGCAGGAAGGGGAGCAGGAAGGGGCCGGGGGCAGGGCCCGGGGCAGTCCGGCTTCGGGTGCCCGGGGGAGCGGGAGGTGCAATTGGGGTGCATGAGGATGGGGTGGGACCCTCGGCGCGGGGCTTTCTGCACCCCCACGGGCACGTCTGCCCAGAAGGGCTCGGTGAAAGATGGGGCTCGCCCCGTGAGCAGGAGCTGAGGCACGGCAATGCCCCTGTGCCTGCCTGCAGGATTTGGGGCTGTTTGGCACTCACGGAGACCAAACATTTGCCACAGCCACCCACCCCAGACGCAGCCTGGGCAGCGCCTCCCCAGCGTCTGCAGCTGGGGCTTTGCTGCATGTGTGGGGTACGGTCAGGACAGTGCCGAATCCACCCTCCCATCTCCTCCGCAGGTCTCCTCCCCCGGCCCCGTGGGGCTCCAGCTAGGGGGTGGCCAGGGACATGGTGGTCCTCCGGGCTGGGCTCTGCCCTGGTCTCACCGAAGAGATGATCCAGCTTCTCAGGGCGAGGAGCATCAGGACGGGTAACGGGGCGGCAGCGGGGTCTCGCGGTGGGGAATGTCATTCCCTGCACATTTGGGGTGGCACCATGCTCCCGTGCAGGACCCATCTGCCAGGCTGGGTGGTCTGGACTGTGGAGCAGCCCCTGGAAAACATCTCCTGCCTCTGTGGCTTTGGCTGGCAGCCCAGAAACTGTAGCGGGGAGAGTTTTCTTAGAGCCCCATAGAGAAAAGGAGGGGGGCTGCCGCTCTAGTCCCTGTGCCCATGTCACCCTGCACCCTGGAAGGGTGATGTTGGTGCAATATCCCTCCCGTGTCCTCCTCGCTGGATGTCTTCTGGGTCCCCTTGGGTGGATATCATGAGCCAGGACTTCTCCATAGAAGCAGGAGAGTGTTCGGACATGGTAGGGGACCCTGCAGAGGCTTTTTGAGGGATGACAGTTAGGGCTTTAGAAGGTATTTTGGGAGGGTTTGTGTGCTTTTTCCCACTGAAAAATGCCCAAGCTCCTTGCATGCTGAGCTTTGGGCAGGGCCTGCTCTTAGGGGGGGAAGGAAAAGACTTTAGGTGGATTCTTTACTTGCTCTGAGAAACTAGATTAGAGCCAAGAAAAACACCATTTCATTCTTGTGAAATGGGATGTGTGAGGTCCTGTGTGTGCTGGAGCCATGGATATTGTAATCCTTGTTTTCCCTATAAGAACTGCTTTTTACCATTATTTTTTTCAACCAATAGCATACACATCTATCTGAAAAAAAATGAATCTTGGAGTGGTTCCTGGGAGCAGAGCTGTGCCACTAGTTCTTCTAATTTCTGTGGCTTTAGCCCTTCCTGGAATGACCAGGGCTGGCAGTTTGGGTCAGTCACTAGCCCCTAGGTCCGCTGGCAGAAAGGGACTCTCCTGGCTGGCCCCAGCTATTCAGTGGCCCTGGGCAGCTCTTGAGCAAAACAGGGAGATTTTTTTACCAGCTTCTCTGCCTGATCTGTTTTGCAATGGGCAGTGGGGCTATCTCAGAGGGAAAACTCCAATATTCCATTTTGTGGGGCATCCTGCTGACCCACTGGAATTGTTGGCAGAGGGACAGGCATTTTGCCTGTTGGTGCCCCCAGGCAGGTTTTGTCTAAGCTGGTCACCTCTACGCTGGTCACTTCTTTGGTGTGCATGGTCTGTCCAGGTCTGGCTTCCAAACTCTTGTCCCTTATATTATTTGCAGTGGTGGACTTTGTGTCATCAGACCTGGAGGACGTCGCCCAGAAGTGTTCCCTCTCTTACAAGGTAAAGGGTGACTCCAAAGTCCTGCTACGTTAATCAGGGAGCTCAGAAGCTGTTTTGCTCACAGCTTGGATGGGCTTGTCTGGGGGGACCTTCTGCAGCAGATGGTGTTGGCCCTGGGTTTCCCCAGTCCCATTTCCAGATGTGTTTCCATCCACCAGGCGCTTGTTGCAGTCAGACGTGTGCTCCTGGCCCAGTTCTCTGCCTTCCCTGCCAATGGAGCAGACCTCTATGAGGAGCTCAAGAGCTCCACAGCCATCCTGCCCACTGGGAGCCCAAGGTGGGTACATCACCCAGCAAGCCAGTGGGTCTGCCCGGGGCTGGACTTGCTGCAAAAGGCCATGGTTGCCTAAAGAAAGCTTTGGGTTTCATTGTGGTGATGCTCTGAGCAGGCTTAGGGGTGTCTAAACCATCCCCAGGAGCTGTTTTAAAAAATTCCAGCCACAGCCTGTCTCTGCCTTTTGGGAGCAGAGATGATTATTCTTCATGTCCTGTGGCTGCAAAGCCAGCTGGATTATGGATCTGGGAGGATTGCTGAGAGATGGTGGTCCAAACTGTCTAGATAAGGCATAGAAATGAGTTACTCTATTGCGTGTCCTTATTTCTTCTTTCCCCCCATCTCCTCTCTGGGTTGTTGCAGTGATTATGCAAAGAAAACCTGGATATTCAAACCTTGCTGCCAGGACCACAGCTCTTCTGCAGCGCAGGACTGTCCTCTTGTAGCCCCCACGCTGCAGATCTGCTGTTATCCACAATGTGGAGAGGGAAGATGGGAGGGAAGGAGCAGAGCCCGAGGCACTTGTCTGCATTTGGGAAGGGGGCTCTAGGGACAAATATCTAGGGACTGCTGCTTCCTGATATCCCTGGCATTCTGGCTGCAGGGGTATTGATAATCCCACCTTGTGTTCAACCCATAGCCTGGACCAGCTGCTGGACTCCGGGCTGTACACGGGGGAAGTGACAGAGCTCATGGGAGCACCGGGCAGCGGGAAGACGCAGGTGAGTGGAGGGAGAAGCAGGGAAAGGACAGGTGGGGTGAAGATGATGTGAAGCAGAGGGACCTGGGAGGGCTGGCTGACTCCCGGTCCCTGCCTCTCCAGGTGTGCCTGGGCATTGCGGCCAGTGTGTCTCTGGGCCTCAAGCAGCACGTCCTGTTTCTCGACTCCACGGGGGGGTTCACTGCCTCCCGTGTCTACCAGATGCTTCGAGCCCAGACAGAGGACGAGGAAGAACAGGCAAGTTCCCCTGGAGCTGGTCCCTCTGCTTGCACTAAAACTGCTTTGGTTCTTGCCTGCAGGCAACCCCCAGAGACGGTTTGTCTGTCCAGCTCTGCCTTTGTCGCCATGGCCTTTTTTGGGTCCAAACGCTTCCTCCCATGGCCACGTGGGTGCTGTGCTCAGGGACAGATGCTGCACTTGTGTTTTTTTTTCTCTTGGGGAGAAAGGAAGGGCTTGCTGTAGTTGCTGATGCTTTTGCTCCCTGAGCTCAATCTGCATTGCTTCTTCCATCAATGCAGTGGGGACAAAGTGTTCGTGGGGTAGAGGCAAATGTGGAAGAAATAAGGGTCCCTGGCTCCATGGCATGGTATAAAAGCATAGAGGTTGTAGCAACTGGGGCAGGAGGTATATAACGAGTCCTGGAGGGTGTGAGGCTGTTGATGATGCCACTTTGTGCCACAGCTGGAGGCTCTGCAACGGATCCAGGTGGTTCGTGTGTTTGACATCTATGAAATGCTGAGCGCCTTGCAGGAGCTGCGGGATCGCCTCTCCCAGCAGGTAGGAGCGAGGGTCTGGGCCCCTCTCCCTTCCCCAGAGTTGCAAGGAGGGCAGTGGGGCTTGTGTGCCTGACAAGTGGCACCAGATCACCCCATCCTGGGGACATTTGAGCCTCTGTGCAGCTCATGACCTCCAAAACTGCTGGATTGTTACTCCACATTGCACATGGTGCCTCCTTCTTTCAGGTTGTGAACTCCATGGGACCTCTCAAGATCGTGGTGATTGACTCTGTCTCAGCTGTGATTTACCCGCTGCTGGGCGGCAAGCAGTCGGAGGGTGAGCTGCTTCATTAGGATGTGCAATGAGGTTGCAGACACCTCTGCTCATCTTGAAGAGCACCTTCCTCCCACATGTGCTGTGCCTGGAGCTGGGGCAGGATGCATGTGGGTGCCACTGTTCCCAGCTTTTCCTTTGCAACAGGATAAAAGGGGAGTCTATTTGCAGTGTTATTGGCAAACACTCAAGCTAGCTGTGGCCGTGCAAGCTCATGCTGGTGGTCTGAAACCCAGCCAGGGGACAGAGGAGGCACAGAACTATGTGCCCACAGAGTAAAACCTCTGCTTAGTGTCACAGATACATCGTGGTTGCTGGCACGGTTTGCAAAGCTCCCCTGAGGCTCTTTCTGCCAGAAAGGACCATTTATCAGGAGTCAGGGGCTTTCTGCTGGCTGAGATGCCAATGAGGCCCTCAGACACCTTCCAGAGGGTGGCACCTGGGTGGCAGCCAGTGCTATCACAGGAGGTCCCCCTTGCAGCCACACGTAGGAAATGAAGCTGTGAGCTGGAGAAGACAGGTCCTGTCTTCTAAATCAACCTGGCCAGCTTTGTCTGGAGCTCCTGTTGCTTTTGTAGGGTATTTTGGCCTCAGGGTTTCTAAGATAGGAAAGGATGGGGTGGGACAACTTGGGGATTGGTCTGTCCATGCCATATCCATTTTGCTGAGGTGCTCTGGAGTGTGCAGGCGCAATGGGTACATTGGGGTGCTGGTAATAGAAATAGGTTGAAGGTGTCCATGAACACCAGCACTGGCACTAAATCTTGTGCTTGTCCAAATCTAAATGTCCCCTGCTGTGGGAACAAGTATGGAATCTGCAGGTGTGGCGGCTGAGCCAGACATCAGAGATATCCTTGGCGTTGTCGGTCGTGAGCCATGGGATAACTGAACAAGAGCTAAGTGAAAAACAAGGTCAATGCTGCGATCAATGGACCTTGCAAGATGAACTTTGTTTTCATATAAGGCTTGGACTCGGTGCTTGCCAGATAGCAAGGTGATACGAGAAAAATAGAGGCTTTGTTTTGGGATGGGTATAAAAGGATGTAAAAGCGTTAAATAAAGTGATCCCGATGCTGCTTGCACTTGTGCATGAACTCGGGGTCCGTGCCTTCATTGCCACACCCTGCCTCCAAGATGCGCTTTGGGGGTTGATCCCCAAACACCCAAATGCTTTGTCCTCCTCCAGGTTTGGCCATCATGATGCAGCTAGCCAGGGAGCTGAAGACACTGGCCAGGGAGCTCAGCCTTGCTGTTGTGGTGAGTGTTGCTGTGCCTTGTCCTTTGTGTGCCATGGCGAGGAGCCCTGGAGAAGCTTTGGAGCCCCTGGGAGGGGGGACCCCGCTCCCAGCTAAGCAGGAGCAAGAGGACTGTATCGGCTCCACGACGTAGCCCTGCTTCTCTGCAGCCTGCAGATGTCTTGTTCCAGCAAGTGTGGAGTAAGAACAGGGCTGAATTGCTGCCTACTTTTAGTGCTGTCCTTGGCCAACAAGCATTCACTCAATTGAGCAAGGTAGAGTTAAGTACAGACAGATTGAAAGGTTGTTTGTATTTATTTTTGCTATCACATGAAGAGGCTGGCCAGCTTACTAAGTAACCTCTAGCTTAGTTACCTTGGAGGAACTGCAGGGCATTGCATCAGCCAGAAGGAGCTGGAGACTGGAAGGGGCCCTGCTTTCATCTTCCCCAGCTCTTGGCCAAGCAATTGCGTTTGCTTTGATGCACCGAGAAAGGTTGCTGGGACCACAATTAATGTGTTTGAATTGGGAAGGCCACAACAGAAAATGGTGGTCACTGGAAAGTGTTGAGAGAGTCCTGCCCTTTGCTGTGATTAGTGATAAAGCGACAAAGACGGGGTGCCTGGAAGGAGGCTCGGAGGCTCCAAGGTAAACTTTGCAGGTGACTTCAGCACCAGAAGTCACTGCAGCTTGCAGATAGGAGCGAGCTCCTACCCGAGTACGTCTGAGGCAATTGTGTGGGCTATGTTTAGAGGGGATGGCACGGATGTGCTAAGAAGAAGAAAAAGCTTCATAGATGTAGCAGGCTGGCCATTACCTCCTGGTGATCTCTGGTGTTTCATTACACCCAGTGGCACTGCTTTTCCTGGGCACTGATAAGCCTGTTTGTGCTGCAGGTGACTAACCAGGTGACAAGGGACAGCAGCACCGGTCCACTGAAGCCAGCCCTCGGCCGCTCTTGGAGTTTCGTGCCCAGCACCCGGGTGCTGCTGGAGAGCAAAGAAACCACCCTGGGGAAAGGCACCACGCAGCGCGTCGCTTCCTTGGCCAAGTCACCCCGGCAGGTGAGGCTCCCTGGACCAGTCCCTCTGGTAGTGGAGAAGCGGCTTTGTGACATGGACCTGGCCTCGGAGTGGAGGAAGGCTCCTTCTGGGGGCAGGGCAGGATCAGGCCACACTGGGTGACCCATGTCACCTGCAGAGGTGACTCTGGCTTGAATCCTGCCTATGTATGGGGCAGTGCTGCCTGAGCCTCCTGGCCCTGAGCCTGCCCTCTGGCCTGATCCAAACGGGTTTGGATGTGGTGATGGTGGTGGGCAGTGAAATGCATCCTGGATGTGCTAAATAATAGTGTGTCTGGGGATATCTCAGAGCAAGATGTTCTTCCTTTACTAAATTGCATTCTCTATCTCTGTGTTCAGCAAACCCAGTTAAAATGAGGGCACCAGCAGAAAGAAATCCTCAAGGGGATGTAACTGGGGATTTTTGGCTCTGGTGCAGGTGGAACGGTGTACAGGTTTGCCCTTAGAGTCCCAGCAGTGTGAGGTTAAGCTCCTCTCTGTTCCTCCTTGCAGCCAACAGGAATACAGGTGGAGCTGGATACTGGAAATGGTGATGTGCAGGAGCTGAGCCCAGTGACACCCACACACGGGCCCTGATGCAGGTGGAAAAGCAAATGTTGAGGTCCAAGAGATCTGCAAAAAAAGCAGGCAAGTGCACTGAAGGTTTTACAGGCTGCCTCTGAGTCCTACAGCCCCAGGAAGAACCAACATGAAGAAGCTCTTGTTCTTCTGTGCTGGGAAGAAAATGAGCATGGGGTTCCCCGGGAATGTCCTTGCCTCAGCAGATGCTGCCTGCAGTGGCTGGGCTGTGTGGGCAGTGTGACAATCAGGTCCTCTGCTCTGCTGCCGGCTTGTCTTCAACCAGCAGAGCCAGCTCTGGCCTAAGATGTTGGCTTGGGACCAGCTGGCACGTCCCTGCACAAACCCATGACTCCTCCTGGTGATTTTGTTTCCCCCATAACTTGCTGCCCTCCGGCCCCAGAGCTCTGATGGTCCTCGGGCAGCCCACAAGTGTCTTGGTTCAGAAATTAAAAAAAAAAAAAATGTTGCACACTGCTGTTGAGAGCTGGAATTCAATTAATGGCAACTGCTGTTAACTTAATTAAAATTGTAATGTTTAGTCCCTAGCAGGACGGGGGGTGGAGGGACGGGGACGGACAACAGGCTGTTGATTGATGAGCAGGGACATAATCAGATGCTTGATCTGACCTTGTCCCCAGAGTAACACCAGACCCTGTAGGGAGCTGCTGGTATTTTGGGGGTGCTACTGTGCTGCATGAAGAATTGCTATTAATTGAAGTTTATGATCTGGATCAGCTGGGGTGGATGAGCCCTGACTGACACCAGCTGGCCCTGTCTGATGCTCAAGGACCTACTCAATTGCATGTGGTGAAGTTTAAAATAATCTCTCCTTGCTCCAGTGCTTTCCAGCTGCTCTTGCCTGCTCTGGCCAACCTCCTGGGTGCTGGTCCAGTGCTGCAGAGGAGAGGGGAGGCTGGGATGGAGCATGGCCTCTCCTCTTGATCCCAGATGTCTTGGACACCCTCATCCTCTGCTTAATAAGAAACCTTGGCAGGTGAGCTGAGCTACGGCTTGCACTTCCATGGCTGCTGATGTAGATTGTGGGGGGCTGGGACTAATCAGGGCATGCTTGTTAAACTAATAACCCATCAGTACAGCTCCCAAAGCTGTAAGGTTGTGCTGGGTGAAGAGGAGTCTGATTTAGACAGAACTTGAGTGCTAATTTCTCCAGAGTAGACATAACACCATACAGCCCTGTATTCCTCAGCAAATAGCTGCTGTAAGGAAGGGGCAGCTAAAAGGGGTATGTGAACACGTATTTTGGGTTCCCAAGAGGCAGTGCCAGGTCTCAGTGCAGATTTTTGTTTTGCGCATCTGTCAGAGCCGTGCGTCCTGCGAAACCGAGCTCTTGGTGCTCCCAGGGCTGTGATTTATGGGTCAGGTCCCAGCTCCCATCGTGGCCACCCAGCCACTGCAGCCCTGTGTGTGTGGCTGTGGGAAAGGCTGTGCTCCCAGCAGGTCCTGCCCAAGGACGGGAATGTGCCAAACAATGTGAGCTCTACTGTTAAACAGTTTTCAGTAAAAATAAATGTATTTTGAAGTTGTGTATTTATTTGCATTTCTGGGCTTTCCAAACTTGGGAGGGGAGGACTGGCCCCAGAGATTGCAGCCTGGCTGGCTGGGGTGAGGAGGAGGATGGTTTTCCTGTCTGCTGGAGATACGTGTTCATGTGGCTGGTCCTTACAAGCAGAAAATTAACTTGTTATGTCTCTTGAAGATGTGCATGAAGAGCTGGTACACACAAATTTCAACCAAAACTGTGCGCTACTATTTTACCTCTCTCTCTGAGGTTCTGCAGGGGAAGCAGAGCTGTCACGGTGGAGCGTGTGGCGCAGGGGAAGAGCCAAACAGAAACCTCTTTGGTTATATTTGAATCAACGGGGCTTTCTCATGAGGATGAGAAGGGGAACAGCCCGCTTTGAACCCTGCATCAGCCTTGGCGTGAGACCAGCCAAGCGCCCAGCGTGCATCTTTGCTGTGGGGCCTGGGAAATGACAGAAGAAACTCTTGCATTTAGTCACTGGGGAACAGTCATGGGACGGTGATTCAACGGGGACAGTGCCAGTCGGTCAGGAAGGAACCAGGAAAGACGCGGGCTGTGCTCCTCCAGAGTGACCCACCCTAGGCTTTTGGGCATAGCGGTGACCTGGGGGGATTTTCTCTCCTTGGAAATCCTTAATTGCAGCTGTGAGAGTTTTATGCCCTCTTGGGAAACAGCTGGATAGGTTGGGGAGGACGGCGCAATACAGGGCACGGCTGAGCTTTGGGTGGCAGCTCCTCCGCTCCTGGCTTCCCTGCTGAGGTAGGCAGCGTGTGTGCGAGGTGACGGCCATGTCCTGAATTTCTGGCTGCATTGCCACAGGGGAGGTGTTGCTGTGGGTGCTGGTTATTGCTCGCTGCAGGGACAGCAGAAGGGTTCAAGCTATGGGAATCTATTACCCGATCTGGAAAAACCTGACTTCTTACTCAAGCTGATTTGCCCTAAATTTGCATAGTAAAAAGAGTGTCTGACCTAAATATCCTAATTCAGCCTTTCTCCTCCGTGCTCAGACAGGCACTTCTGCAGCCCTGCAAGACAGGGCCCGGCTGTGCCAGGACACACGGCGATGTCCCCTCTCCCTGCTCCTTCCCATTGCCTAAATCAGCTGGAAAACTGCTGGAAAGGCCTGGAGTGGGGTGATAAAACCTGTCCCGGAGCAGACAGGGCACCTCTCGCCCCAAGCAGTGGGGGTGCCTTTTGGCACTGAAGGCTCATTTACCCTTGATACATATAAAATACATCTATAAGTGTGTGTTTACATGTATTGCGTGCACACATGTGTGCATGTATGTATACATGGGCGTATGTGTCTACCCCTCCA